GTCTCTTCCTTCTGCAGAAGAGAACGAATCAAGAAGAGAAGTATACCGATATGGCATCCGCTGAACAATAAATCCAATGCTTCCAAGGCGCAGCAGCATCTCGTTTTGTTTTACGTACTGGCAACACAAAGAGCTTTGGCCAATCAGATAGCTCGAGTGACGGACAGCGCAATTCCCAGGGTACAAGTCCGAGATCGTTGGCCCCGGGGTGGAGTAGAGGAGCTTGATAGCACGTGCCAGTGGTCGATCGCTGACTGGCTAACTCGTTAAGCTTTGACATTAAGGTGTGGCTTCGGTCCATCGCGGCTCGCTTCCGGTACGTATTCTTTCCATGGTTACAGTGCTTTCGCCAGTCGGGTTTGGGTATCCAGGACAGGGCATCAACGGCGTGGAATGAGACGTCGTGTGGTTCGAGATGTAGTTGGCCTGTAGACTTGGAGAATGACGGTAGAGGCTGATATGATCTGCGGCATGGTTGGTAAGGTTCTGATTGTGCAGACGTTGGCAAACTGAAAGTTACGTACCTGGATCACTTACACCAATCCCTCAGCACCAGGCCATGGTCAACAGCGACGCAGACTCTCCAGGCCTCAGTTGGTGCGGCCTCGCGGATAAAAAATTAGGGTCGCCGCCCAATATTTAAAGAAACGGTAGCCTAAAATGGCCGCGCGGCCTCGGCAATGGATGGGCCCGTAGTCGGTGGTGGCAGTGCACGCCCGACTCGTCGTCATTCAAAAAGGGAGAAAATGTCGAGCTTGGCGCCAACAAGGTCTGCTGGGTCCCTCTTGGGTGTAAATGTGCTCAGTCCCGAGTATCAGATAAGGCATCTGTGGCGAAAGGGTCGAGCCAAGAGTCCCGGCCCAAGATACCGCCTCGATTAACTCTTGGATAGCTTCCGAGTGGGTTACAAGACAAGGTTTACGAATATTGTGCTTGGCCCAAATGTGGTTATGACTTCATTCAGGCCTAAAAATGGAATATTTGTGACCAAGGCACATTGCCAAGAAGACAGCCGGTCTGGTAGAGTCTCGTACTTCTTTAGGTGAGCCAGTTACTGCTTGCAGTTGCTCACTCTATCACGAGGACTTGTCTAGACGAGTTTATAAGGCGATTCTGAGACAATCTCATCGCGAGTAAGACATTTAATTATCAAGGGCGATATATGAGAGGCCAAGACTTGCAGCTACCTATACTTAAATTTTTAAGTTGATGATCAATATACCCCGGACAGCTTGGCACATCAAAGACTCTGGGCGCCCAGCCATACCTGAGACTCATATTAAAGAGCCGGGTACTCCCTCAGAAACTCATCAAACCCTGTAGTCTTTACTCCCAGTCTCTCATTGTCCAATTCTCCAAGAGACCAGGTCCCGTCAACGGTGTGTAGTTGATAGAACCACCCGATGTACGGCCAGTAGTTCCGTCTTGATCCTTGCCTCCTCGCCTCAAGAGCTCTTTCACGCAACTCGTCCACAGTTCCCTTCATGCGAATATCCACTTTGCAGTTCCTAACCTTGCCGTATATCGTGGCTAGCTCCTTAAGTGTGCTACTTCCAGAACACACAGTCCAGTCGCCGCCTTGAGACGCATCATCTCGCTCGATGATGGCGGTGGTGAACTCTGCAGCATCTCGCTCTGTAGTCCAGTGCCAGATCTCCTCGCCCGTTCCCCAAATTTCCATTGTCTTGCTGTCTGGGTCCCAGCAACCATTATGCGCTGGGCTAAAGTGACCATGACCAGGTGCAGAAAAGAGCACCTCAGCCAGCACTCCAGTGAAGATGTAAATCGGTTTCAGATTCGAAGATAGGTCCACATGATTCCTGAAAGAGATGAATGGATCATAGCTCTCCTGAACACCAAGCTTCATGTTCCTCCAGTCATAACTCCAGCAGTGGGCAACGTATGTCTTGACACCAGCTCGTCCAGCGGCACGTAGGAGGAGGAGCTGGCCTTCAAGCTGTAATTGGGGGATACCCTGGTACGCGCAAATAACCACGTCGACGCCCTTGCAGGCACGATCTAGAGCCGGAATGTCATAGTAAGTCTCGCTTTGAACGAAACTTTCGAGTTTCTCTCGGCGAGAGGGCTCAAGTTTGGACGGGTTGCGACCGAGGGCGCGGACTTGATGACTGTGAGAGTGAAGGCTATCAATGAGCTTTTGGCCGAGATTTCCGGTTGCGCCAGCTATAAGAACAAGCATATTGGAGTTCCAATTGGAGGAAGAAAGGGTGATGTTTCTGTATTGACTTTGTCCCAGGTCTCACAACTTATATCCCTGTCTTCGGGGCTCGGTAATTCCCTTCGCGACTGCTTAACTCCGGCCAATCTAAAGAGACTGATCATCAACACTTATGCAGTCATCTCAGGGACAAGCGGTCAAGGATCGTGCTTGTAGGGAAGAGACTGATTAGTAAAGGCGCATATGATCCTTCGGATGATCGGCAAACAACTGACTCGAAAAGTAGCATGGCCCCAGATTCTGGAAACCCACGCGAGCTGTAAATAGGATAGATTTTGCTTAGCTGGTTAGACTGGTGCATGGCTGGTTTATTCAATGGACTCGGCCTTCTTTAACCATGATCCGTTATAGTTCTTGATTAATCCCAATACTCAACTGACCTGGCTATAGGGTATTGGGATTATCACTCGTATTGTCAACTACCTTGTCTAGGTACCTACTGTTAATCCTTGCTCTACTGTTGCTGGCCCCTTTGTCTTTGTTGTGGGATTGCCAGGCTTTCTGTCCTGCTCACTTCATGCTCGACGAGGGAAGCATCGCCTTCAGCAACACCCATGCTAGCTATTGACACGCAGATTCTCACAACATCCTTAACCCAACCCTGGATCATATAATATACACGCCTGGAACTTCCAGAAAAGTAATACTCAACTCCAGCCAATCCAATTCCCCCTCCTTTCGTGTTAAACATGTGAAAGCTTCCTTCATCGTCCGAGGTTCAGGGTAAGCGAGAAACTCTATCATTGCCCCGGTTTCTCGAATTACCTATATGGTCACCTACGCAATATAACTATTGAATATGCTAACCCGAGTTTCTACCTATGACCGTACGACTATCGCCTCGTGCAACCGTAGCTCAGGGACGGAACCCGGTGGACCTGCCAGATTAGAGAACCTCCGGGACTAACCCCGGCCTTTTGCCCCACAGCCACCGAAACGGCGCCGGCTCTTGCCCCGATTCCGGTAGTTGCGATAAACAACCCCGGAAAACCACTTCACCTTAATCGCGACCGAAACATGCCCAAAATAAACCCTTTGCCGATGCATCATTCACCGAATCGGCTCGGCCCGTTATCCTGAAGTGAACAGACATGCCGGAGCTCTGCAAGTCATTCCCAGGGTCACTCACCACTCGGCGGCCAACGTGCCTGAGGATGATGCTCCTGTTTTATCTTGATTAGGCCAATGGCATGGCACGTGGGGTGGTTGATGGCGCGGTGGGCATGACCTGGGGGTTTCATGGTGCCGGCTGACGAGGGGAATGGTGAGCGCTGATTGGTGGCTTTTGTTTAGAGGGCCAGGACGATCCGCGAGGTATTGGTGTTCGGTGGAGGATAGAGTTAGATGAGTTCATGCAATGGCCGTCTTATGTCGGAAGCTATATAGGTTTGGGTGTTGCATCATGTAGTATGAAAGCTTGTGTCTGCACCTCGTGTCTGAAGTTTATTCCGCCAGCTTGCTTGTGTTCCCCTCGTTGTCCTTCTGCAACTGTCCAACTGCATCATCATGAAGTCTCTCGTTTCGCTGGCTATTCTGCCTCTTGCTGCCCAGGCAGTGAGAATCGTTCAGTCCAACGATGATGGCTGGGCAGAGTCGTACATCCGTACCTTCAACGATGCCCTGAACAAGGCCGGCTACGAGGTTGTTCTTTCAGCCCCAGCTGAGAACAAGTCGGGCAGCAGTAAGTTACATCACAAACAGAGCTAATATGCACTAACACGTAGTCAGGCTCGCGCGACGAGAAGCCTACGGATCGCAAGGAGGCATGCCAGTATAACAGCTGTCCCGCTAACAGCGGCCCTGTCGGCTCTGATCCTAAGCGTCCCGATCTCAACTGGGTCAACTCATTCCCTGTCACTTCCATCAAGTATGGTATCGACACCTTTGGCCCTGGTCTGTGGGACGGTGCTGCGCCCGAGTTGGCTGTTACTGGTCCCAACGTCGGCACCAACCTCTGGCTTCAGGTGCCCTTCTCTGGTACTGTCGGCGCTGCTTGCTATGCAGCTCACGATGCTGGCATCCCGGCGATCGCCTTCTCTGGAGCTTCGTCTGGCAACACTGCTTTCAACACGAGCCCTGTGCCCGCTCGCAGCCTTGTGTACGCTGAGTTGGCCACCAAGCTGGTTAAGAAGGTCGTCGACTCTGGAAAGCCCTACCTCCCTAAGGATGTCTTCCTCAACGTCAACTTCCCCAAGGTCGAGGGAAAGTGCACCGACGCATCCAAGTTTAAGTGGGTGTTGAGCCGCATCAACCCTGGTGTCTTTTCCAAGCCCGATACTGAGTGGTGCGGTGATGATCGCCTGCCTACCGAGACGGAGGTTATTCTTGAGGATGGATGCTACATCTCTGTCAGCGTTGGTGATGCCACTGACAAGACGACTGTGAACGATGCGCGACAAGATGTTGTGCTTGCGAAGCTTAGGGATATGCTCGTGTGCCTGCCTTAAGCAGCGAGTACGGTGCTCATGTATTGTTGAGGGGACGTGTAAATAGATAAAACGGGATAAATGTAATTGTGTACATATTCTTCGGACAGCTTCTCAAGAACTTCTGTCGCTTGATTCCTTGAAATGTTGTCTCATTGCATCAATTGCCAAATTGTAGCCATCCCCTGTTGCTGAACCCATTGAATGAGGGACACCTTATCGATAAGAATTGGCGCCTAACTTTCCAGGCCCACCATCAAAGCCTGTGGCTCAACATCAACTTTTTGCGCGACCACCAATATCCAGCAGCCAGGAGCTTCAATTGCCCACACAGAATGGCGCCAATCGACCGCTGCTTGGCCTCCATGGCCAGGCTGTCCCTCCTTCAGACTCCTCGGCCCGCAATCCCCACGATACCCCGATTCCTCGCACCAGCCGCCGCACAGCAGGTCCGCAATGCCTCGGTCGTCCGCATCAGAAAGACCACCAAGAAGAAGAAGCCGCTTCCCAAGGATTTCAAGAGGCATAACCTTACCAAGAGGGACTTTCCGCAGCATTCGCTATGTGAGGCTATGAGGTTAGTTGGGAGCAATGGGTAGAGGGGAAGACTGGGGATACTGGATCTCAGTCAAGGACAACCCCAATATCAACGCTAACTCATATCCAGGGTCCTCCGAGCCGTCGAAGTCGGTCAACCCCCCGCCTCGGTCAAGTACGAGGTACACATCAACCTCAAGACAGCCCGAAACGGACCCGTCATCAAGAACAGCGTCCGCCTCCCCCACCCCGTCCAGAGCGACTGGCAGATCGCCGTCGTGTGTCCCGAGGGCAGCGAGATCGCCCGCGAGGCCACCGCCGCTGGAGCTGTGGCTGTCGGTGAAGAGACCCTCTTCGAAGCCATCCGCCAGGAGCAGATCAACTTTGACCGCCTCATCTGCCACGAGGCCAGCGAAAAGGCCCTCAACAAGGCCGGTCTCGGAAAGATCCTCGGCCCCAAGGGCCTCATGCCCAGCAAGCGAATGCGAACCATTGTTCCCGATGTTGTCAAGTCGATGCGAGACTCGGCCGGTGCGGCAGACTACCGTGAGAGGCAGGGCGTCATCCGCATGGCTATTGGCCAGCTGGGTTACACACCCGATCAGCTCAAGGCCAACATCAAGGTGCTGTTGACCAAGATCAAGGCCGAATGCGCCGAGATCTCAGAGGAGGTGCACAAGGAGGTGCACGAGGTGATTCTCAGCACGACCAATGGGCCGGGCCTGAGCCTGAACGGAAAGCTGAAGGACGCAGAGGAGAAGATTACCCCCGAGGCCTTGTCGAGCATCATGTAAAGTACATTGATGCGGGGCTTGTATTATTGTATCATATGTCATATTACCGAATAGACGACCTCGTGAATGAAACAAAACGGCTTAACGTGGGTATCATTATTGGATTCTATGTGAGCTCTTCCTAACCGCCTCGAAGAGCCTTGATGGCATCTGCTTGTGCGCCCAGCACTCTGTATACAGCAAGATATTGTAGGACCCTGTCCTGCCCACGGACACCAGCCTTTTTCGCCTGTTTTAGTGCGTTGCCCAAGTCTAGCAGCAGAGTGTTCCGACAACGTGTCAAACGCTCCTCCATCTTGATGACAAAGGGTGTGTCCTGGTCTAGAGACTCAGTGAGCGTCGCAATACGACTGCATTCTTGCGCTGAAGCAAGTAGTCTTGCTGGTGAACTCCCAAGGGTCCCGTCGTCGTCCTCATCCTCCTCTTCACTCTCGTCGTCTTCCCAGTCTTGCCGGGTTTTGGAAGCTGGCATGCTATCCAGCGCAAGATGCTCTTCCAACGATGTTAACCGTTCAGAGAGCTCAATCATCTTGCGACCTTGCTCGATAGCTGACCGCACGCCACGAAGTTCATCGTTGAGTGCATTGGTCTCTTCTTTTCGTGACGATACACGGCCCTTGACCTCTTCCACGGCTCTTCGGAAGCCCAACAGAGAGACTTTGACATCCTCGACCTTGTCGTCGCCGCCACGGAGTTCGCTGCCAAGGGATAGAAAGGCCGTATAATTCGAGTTCACAAGCTCCAGGAGCTCTGAACTAATGGCTGCGCTTCGATCGCGCAAGTCGGAGCGCAAATCCTCGAGGGTCTGATGTCGATTCGGCAGTGCAGAGAGATATGCAGCTGGTTGAAAATTCGGAGCAAGAAAGTCTGCGCGCGGAAGGGCTTCAGGGAACGGCAGGGGAGCATCATCGTCGACGGAGGAGGAAGAGTCGGAGCCGGAGAGAGTGAAGGGAGCACGGGACGGGGTAGATATCCCGAGGCCCGAGAAAGAGGCGAGAGGGTCCGGCGCGGCGGCCATTGTAGGTGGTGGTGTGTCGTGGGTGTGCTCTGTAAGTTGTCTCCCACGATGCTGGAGCACTAGAGGTGAGGTGGCATGGATTGGTGGAGGAGCTTTGTGGCGGCATGAGCGTTATCGGCGGCGCTAACCATGATTGGAAGGGCCGCTACTGATTATCTTATCGATAAACCCCGGACTTGTGCCGTTGTGCTAGCCTCTACGAGACAAGACCTCCCACTCGGCACAAATCGCACCTTGTGATGTTTCAGGGTGCAACGAAGACTCTTGGTTCTTGAGCACCCTTGAATCATTGGTAGGTCCGTATGCCCTGTGGAGGAGTTCGTGGGCTCGTACTCGTACATCTAACACCCTGGCACGCAGTCAAGAAAAAAAATTGAGATGGCACAGTACAGCTTTTAAGTCTCAAATGATGCTCGTCGTAAACTGTTACAAGAGATGATATCACAGGGCTCTCTGGTCTTTTCTTAATCTAATGTATACTTAAGATCTCTGTTATTTACCATTTAATTACCCTTACTATACTTGTTTGGTTGGCTTAAAAGACGAACAGCTGATATCTTAAGCTGACGTCTTTTACCGTGCTGGATCCAGTGAGGCGACAATCAGCTCAATATGCCTCCGTCAAGGTCACCTCACCTGAACATCTTCTCCAAATCCGTGGGATGAATAACGACACCTCAGCCTCTGATTGGTCCCGTCTACTGACTGTTGGTTGTGTCCAGGTGTACTCCGTGCGAAGGCACGATTCGAGACAAAAGGCTTAGCTCGGTGGAGTTTGAAGCAGCTGAGGTGGCCTGGGCGGAATCCCACGCGCTTGGGGGCGCGATAAGCGGAAGGAAAAAAAGGAATTGAGTCGGAGAGAAAAAGTCTCGAAGAAGCGGATACGCATTACGTTTGGAGGAGCCGAACATGAATCGGTTGCCGAGGATAAAGTCGGAGTGGGAAAAGGCGGGAGAGACGACACATTTCCTCTTTGGGAAGCCAAGGAGATGCTACGACGGTCGCTATTCGACAATCTTTGTTGGGAGGGAAAAGAGACGAGTTGCCTGCTTGCATGCCGGCTCGGTGTGCATCGGTGTCGACTGCAACCTCCCATGACATCTCGTGAGATGTGCGTCTACTATGCCGAAAGAGTCTGATGGCGTCTCATCTTTACCATGCCATGTGTGCATGTATGCGTGTGCTGCCTGTCAAAAGCCCAAGCCAGACCATGGATCCCATCGCAACCAGTTGAATCTGTCACATCATCTTACCCTGATCTCGTTGGCTTTGAAGACCCTGATGAGATGCCCAGGCTTGAGCGCCATAACGAACCAGTCCAACCCCCGTACTGCCGTGGGATATTTCCGTGGAGGCGTCGCTCAGGGCATGGATCAGCGTTGGTGCAGCTCGTACGACCGGCCTCTCAGAGTCCCGACAAAAGGCATTCACTCTCTGGGAAAAGACCTCCCACGCGAGCGGGCCCGGTATTGTCTCTGACCCTTGGGAGAGCACAGGCCCAGAGTCCCTGTTCTGCAAACCACGCGGCCAGGATTTGCAAAGCGGATGGTGGGAGCGAAGTCGGAGTTCCGAGAACCCTTGGGTGGCACGGCATTTTTTTTCTTCCCACGACGCTCACAACCACAGGGTCAACGGATGTCGCTCAGATGGCCCGGGCGTGCTCCGACTAACGCCGGTGGCTTGCTCCAGGTGAGGCCTTGGAACAAGCTTATACCAGAAAGCTGAAAGGTGAAGGCTGAGAAGGGTCTGGCAGGTGGGGCAAAGCCGAGAATCGTGGGGATGTTGTTATCCCGAAGTTCCGCTCCAAAAAAAGTTGGACGCCAGAGACACACCGACGACAGCTCAAACTCGGGCCGGGAATACTGCTCTTCGATCGATCGTCGCTCACCAAAAAAATACCGAAACTCTCCTAGTTGCATCAAGTAAAAAACCGCGGCTCAAATGCAACATCTTGAGTCGTTGTTGGGGGTCACAAAGGATGATGGGTTGCAGAAGGTGGGGGCGCAGAAAAAATAGTCAAGACACAGCCAGCGATGGCGGAGCCGCCTGGGTATGACTGATTAAACGTCCCCATCGAAACCCCATCGCCCATCGACTCGATGCCTGACAGAGAGGCCTGGCCGGCAATCAGAGTGCGAGAAACCCGCTTTTGTGCTCCGTCGTAATTGCTGGTAAGCTCACAACTCGGCGGTTGAGTGGCTCAAACTAGACCTGCCAAACCCGCACGGGCGGGTGCCTGGCGCGGTTTTCCTTGTGCCTGGCGCCGTGGGTGCATGCGAAATTTTTATCAATCAAATCTTATCAATCAGATCAGATCCACCCATCGCCTCCTGGAATCGGACCATTGGCTTCCCAGGCTTCGGATGCGGTCGGGGCACAAAAGTAGCGACGCACCCCACGATCAATTTCCCTCTTGCTGCCTCCCCTTCCCTTTTCCCCTCCTCCATCCATCATCCTCTTATCGTGATCCCAATTCATGACCAGCTGCGACATCTGAGCTTCTTTCCTTTTGCGCCGTCACGAATGGGTCCATCAACACGCTGTCAAATTGACTCTTCTCTGGCTACTAGCCGCGCCTCTAATTCGAAGCCGAAGCCGCACCCAAGACCTGCCTGGGTCATTCTGCAGCCTTGCAACAGCTAGGAACGACCCCCATCTTATCAATCTGATCCGGCAATCTGCCAGCACACAACACCTCACCACCAATTGACGACGCTTTTACTCGACTGAGCATTATCCAATTCGTCCAAGCCGACTTGTCCGATTACGACGCCTTTTCTCATTCCCCCAGAGTTTCCCATCTCGGAACTCCGAACCCCATTTGGCTCATCACGACCGATCGACCGAAAAGAGACCCGCCGGTCTCGCCACACACACACATAACAAACAAGGACTCGTCACCCATCCACATCAGGCCTTTTGTCACCCACCATGACAGGTCCAGCACTCGCTCCATCTCCTCCGCGTCAAGCTGTCGACTCCCCTGGCGCTGGTACTCCCGTCCTCGCACCTGCACCCGCGGCAAGACCTCGTGTTATCTCAGCCGCACCTGGGCCGGCTTCACCAGCCACATCCACTGCCCCACAGAGGACGCCTCTCTCCATTAAGCCGAGTGCAAAGCCACCTCCACCTGCACAACCTCAACAACGCACTGCTCTCCCTTCCATCAACAAGATGGCCATGTCGTCCGTAATCAGCCCCAACCCGGCACCGCCGGAGCCTCCCAAGATGTCCATGACTTCCAAGGAGTGGGTGATCCCACCGAGGCCCAAGCCCGGTAGGAAGCCCGCCACCGACACACCACCCACCAAGCGCAAGGCCCAAAACCGCGCAGCCCAGAGGGCCTTCCGGGAGAGGAGAGCCGCCCGAGTTGGCGAGCTCGAGGAGCAGCTTGACCAGCAGCGTGAGGCTCAAGAGAAGCATGAGACTGAGCTCAAGGACAAGATTCACGAACTCGAGCTTGATGTCCAGTCCTTCCGGTCCCGATGCATGCTACTCGAGAACATGCTCGATCGGGAAAGACAGGACCGCATCCGGGTTGAAACCGAGGCCGAAACCCTCAAGCGACGTCTAGATGAAGGCGTCTTCAGCTCGGGTTACCAGTCACGAAGCATGAGCACTTCTCACCCGTTTGATGGACTTCAAAGTCCAACTAGTCAGCCGCAGAGGCACAGTCTTCCCGATGGCCGCCCGGACCGGCAGTCGGGTCATTCCTTTTCCATCTCCCAGATAATCTCTCCCCCAGAGACCCTCGATATCAACGCATCAAATGATGATGCCGCCATCACCTGCGGGAATTGTTCCCCAAACGGGCGGTGTGCCTGTGCCGAAGAGGTGATGAAGACCGCCGCCAACGGTTGCAGCAAGTGCGGTCTGACATCCAGCTGCCAGTGCCTCGGCGAGGTGGCTGACGCCCTCAACCGATCTCAGGACCTTAAGCGTCCGGCCTCGCCGTCTGGAGACATTTCCGGCGAGAAGAGGCACCGCTCCAGCCATGATGAGGCTGAGACAGACTTTACCGCCATGTACTCTCGCAAGGCCACCAACGTCACCCAAGACACTTACACTGCTCCCTCCCAAGTTCCTTCACTAGACACCATGCCGTTCAGAGACGGCTGTGGGTTTTGTAAGGACGGAACCTACTGTGTCTGCGCAGACACCTCACTGGCGACCCCTGCCATGACTCCAAATGATACCCTACCTCCCATCTCCCAGCAGGTCCAGACACCTCCCCCGTCAGAGACCGATGTTGTTCCTCCTACACTAGCCATGGAGATGACGGCCGATGGTGCCGTCAAGCTCCCTCGCCGGACACAGACTCAGAACCAATCATCTGAACGACGAGGCTGTGGTCCTAACGGACCTGGTACCTGTGCCCAGTGCCAGGCTGATCCCAAGTCTGGTCTCTTCTGCCGCCTGATGGCCGCCAACTTCAACCGTAAGGATGGTAGCAGCTCTGGAGGCTGCTGTGGTGGCAAGGGAGCTGGTGGCGGTTGCTGCAAGTCCCAACAACCCAAGCCAGAAAAGATCTCTCTCCCCAGTCTACCCAGCCTGGGACTCAGCTGTGCCGAGGCATATCAGACACTATCAAGTCACCGCAACTTTTCCAAGGCGGCAGATGATATTGGTTCTTGGCTGCCAAAGCTCAAGGCTACTCCTCGTGCCGGAGCCCGTCCAGCACCTCAAGGGACGATGATGCCCATCGAGGTTGAGGCAGCAAGCATCATGAGCGTGCTGAAGGATTTTGATATTCGGTTTGGGAGAGGATTCTAAGGAGATCCCAAACCGTTAAAAAAAAGGGCGAAAAATACTTATATGGAGTACATGAAGCGAAAAATGAACAGAAAGCACATACGGGGTCCTACGAGTTATGGATAGTTGGGGTTGCATGCCTTATATGGCACATTGGGGCAGGTTATGGTCGGATAGCGGTTGTATTATACCCATGTTTATGGTGAAGATGTAGTTCCTTCACCTTGGTCTCATGCATGAACGAATCTATGCGTTATTTCAACATGTTTTGTATCACTCGAGATGATGTGAGAAGTGATGTGCAAATGGATGTGTCGGAGCAATGTCGACGCAGCTTGTACTGCCGAACGCCTCGGCAGCTCGGAGGAAGGATTCTAGAAGTAAGGCTTGCACGAACCGGGATGAGGTGGTTAGGATCTGGCCAGTGAGAGGCATACATAAAAGCAGGCGAGCCGATGAAGATGTATGGATAGGACGAGCAGGGACGTCCTTGAAGAGTGTGAAGCTGTATGACATGACATGGATGAAGGGAGTAACGGACAGAAGACGATCTTGGTCCAAGCATCAACGCAAAGCATAGTTACTTGGTACTGACTGGGCGTTGCAGTATGAGGTGACGTGGTGAGTGAGAGCGAACCATGCACAACTCACGCACAAGCAAGCAGTTTGACAGTGAGGAAGGGGATGAGCCGAGTTGACAGCAAACGGGGTCTTTGTTACGTAGGTGGCTCTGCGGCTCAGATGAGCTGGAGATGAACAACACGCCATACCAGCGAAAACGAACTGTCAAGCGCCCAGTTCGTAAATTGTGAGCGGCTGACGTGCATGAGGAGTCATGACGACTCGAGCTGCCCGAGGCTCAAAGAGGAGATGCTGGGGAAAGCTGGGGTGGCCTATGCTGGTTGCGGTCAAGGGTTATCCGCCTATAGTCTTCCTGAAGTTGTCGTGAACTGTTGGGAAAAAAACAAGAGACGACCGAGGTGGACCGGCCGGGACAGGACAGGGTGGAGAGTGGCCAACGCACCGGGCGGGCGGCTCACCTTGGGGCTGGACCTGGTACGACTGGGAATAGGTAGGCATGTATGACAGATGCGCTTGCATCTGAAAGACTGGATGAGAGAGATAGGTAGAGGAGGTTGGAGTATCTGGGCTGATGCTGGGTCTGTGGAGTTTGAAAGGCGAAGATGGTCAGGGCCAGAATGACCAACAGAAAAGACGAGACCAGACCAGACCAAAAGATGACCAGCAGAGAGATTGACAACAAACTGGACGAGGCCAGCCGAGCTGAGTATAATCGCCTCCGTATCGGTAAACTTGCATCAAGTGTCAACTTGTGCTTGGTCTGGCTGCATAACTGGCTGGAATGGACCCCTCGGCACCGTCCAGCAGAAACATGTCGGTCTGTCTAACAAATTTGAATGGCTGGGCATGTTCGGTGAGAGGGGGGTCAGAGTGAAGAGGAAAAAAAATCTACAAAGTAACAAGACCTGCTCTGGCACCCTATGATTGGGGAGAGACGGACGCACTCTCTGCATAGGGGACCAGGGGGTGGTGTGCACCGGCGTAGCGCATGATTGGGCAAGGGCCCGCGTTGGTGCGTTGGCAGAAGGCATTCGCTGACGGGTGATGGGGGGAGGGGGACGCACAGAGACCTTTGTTGTCTTTGCCTCGCATGGAGGGAACTGGCGTGGTGCGTCGAGATTGGTCCGAGGGATGGGGGGTGGAAGGATGGAGGGTCTGTTACTGTACTGTGCTGTAGGTAGCGAGTTGATGGAAACTGTTAATGGTCATGTACAGTACAGCAAGAAGTGAAACATGTCATGTTTGCACTTGCTTCTGGCACATGGCGGTGCAGCGTTTAAGATGAAGATATCATGGGATGGAGGTGTAGTAATTATGCGCGAGAATGCACCGTATGCCTTTCAACTCCCAACGAAATTTCATGTGCAGCCATCCAATGCAAGGGATCTAAAATGCCCGACAACCTACAGAGTCTACAAATCAATAAACCCATAGAGCCAATATCCGAACACGGGGACATGCATGCATCTCATCTTACCGTCTTTTTACTCTTTCATCTGTTATTCCTTCTCGTCTAAACTTGTTTTTTTTGTTGCGTCTCCGTTCACTCGTGGAAGTAAACGTCTGGTCCGTTTTTTTGACTTCCTGCTGATCAGGAAGCGAAGGGCGGCGGCGGCCTCTGCAGTGACAACTCAGCGCCTAGAGTCACACCAAAGTCACATTATTTGTTCTGTACCTTTTTTCCTTTTGGTCAAGAAAACAAGACTGGAGGTGTAGCACAAGACTTGTTGTTCGCTTCTTTTTTCATAGTGTCAATCAATTTGTCTGCAAGTCATATTGTTTGGCCAGCAAATCTTCAACGTGGTTTTTGTGATCGTGTACCTACATTCGTTGTCATGAAAGGAACAACAAGCCTCGATCCAGGAACGGGCATGATTTAGTATTAAGCAATTTAATTGATAGCACATGCGTACATATCACATTTCCACCTTGTCTACATACCTAATCTCGACCAGATGGACGGGTTCAGTCTCGGCGCATGCTCTCAAAGAAGCAACTTTTGTTCAAACCAACAGACAAGGGAGTTCCCAGAAAGACCGACTCAGCCTCGAGAATTAAGCGACCGCCTCTCTCTCTCCCTCCATTCTAGCGCCTGCCAACGCACAACTCACCTAATTTTCGTCCATCGCCCCGGGCTCTCTCAGGCCCCAAGCAAGGTCGTAGACCCGGCCCGACCTGACCCAGGCGCTGGCTGACACGTGCGAATGGCACAGGGCTCAGGTACCGGGCCCGCAGCCAGCAGCAGGGGCCCGGCGGCCCAATCGTAGCTCAATCTCGCACCCGCATTGCCGCGTCTCCGTCTCCGAGAGGGGCTTAGCGCGCATCGCCCGCCCGCTCCGCCCGTGGTACGTACCGCTCCGTGGGAACCTGAATGCTCCACCTTGACTGTTCTCTCCCGCCGCCTATTCTACCTCTACCCCATCATATGGAATCCCATCCTTATCCCAGCCCAGCCCAAGAGAAAGAAGACCACCCCCTCGATTCGACTCTTTTTTGCCTCTATGCAGTCGGCGCAACCAGCAGGTGCCAGCTGTGAAGCGTGAGCCCCCTTTGTTGTCCTGTTGTTGTCTTATGAGGCCTACAGTTGCCTCTCTCCCTCTTGCTCGACTCTTTCTACCGCACCTAAAGTTGGGCTTTGCTGCTACTTCTCCCCCCACCTTCTTGTCTCCTCTCTCCTCTCCCCCTCCTCCTACCTCCCCTCTGCTCTGCTCGCTCTGCTCTCTCTGCCATAGACTTCTTCTCCTCCTCCGCTCTCTGTCCCTCTCTGTGTCTTGTCTTGGGCGACTCCGACGTGCGACTCCAATCCCCGTAATACGATCCATCCCAGTTCCTCCCACGCCAGAGCTGCAGTTTGGAACGCGCTATACTCGATCCTCGCGCGCCTTGTCACTCCTTACAGTACCTCGCCTTGCCCTTCTCCATCAGTTGCTGGCCGGCCTAGCACACCTTCTCTGATTGCTTGCACGACCACCGAGACTCGACTCGATTCGATTCGACCTCGTCCAATACCCTTCAGCCTCGACTTACTCGCCCGGCAGACCCGTGAGCAGCCCCTCGTTGAGAGCTGCCATAGGAGCTGTACGGCTGCGACGTAGAGTTCCTTTATGGGCTCAGCATGGTTTCTATGCAACGATCTTTGTCTTCGCCCGTCCGAGTTCACTCCTCTCCTAGTACGTCTTCTCCGACGTCGCCACTGTGAACCCACCAAGGGTTCTCTCGTCCTCTGGCTCTTATGAGCCCCAAGGTAGTTCTTTGTGCTGATCTAGTTGCCCGCCGCACAGCCGTGTCATCGTCGGTCGCGCAAGATTCGGCGTCGCCCGCTCCGCACATCGATATCCATGTGCAACCCCCCCGAACTCGTCGACGCCGCTCCCCGAGCCCAAATCCAGCTCACAACGCGACGCAAACCCTACCACTACGACGCTCCGACGACAACGCCCATCGGGGCCATGCCCAGCAACACTCACCGGCCATGTCCTCCCGCAAGCCTATCGTGGCACAGCCCAACATGCCTGGCCAGCCGAGCCCACGACACGCTCCCGACGATTCGACCGTGAAACCCGGCGACAAGAATGAAGACGCCCCCTCGCCGTTCCCCAAGCTTCTGCAGGACGTTTCCCAGTATACAAACCCGCACCTGGCCCCCGAAAACGAGAGCACGACCCTTGAGGAGTTGGCCCATCTCGTACGACTGTCCAAGTACCAGGAGCGCAAGCGCGCCAACACCCGTCTGCGACTCCAGAGGAATTTGGTTTCTACGGCCCTCAGCGCCCGTCTGACCCGTTGTGGAGAGATAGCCCATCGTAACTTGGTCGACAACTTCCGCCGGGACGACAAGGAGAACTTTTCCGCGCTCTACAACGCTATTCACGATGTACGCAACAGCTGTGACGAGCTCCGCCGTTACGCCCTTCTCGATCCCGAGATGGAGGGCCTCGCCTCGGCTGGTATTGGTTCTTCTGAAAGTTTGGATACTCCGACTAACTCGGCAGCTGCCCTTGGTCCTCTCAAAACCATCACTCCCTTCCTGCACGACATTTCCGCCTCTGCCCGGGATACCTTTATGGACTTTCTCACGCAGCTTCGAACGAACCCGGACTACCTGGCCACTCGTATATGTTCCCTGTCAAGTTCCGAGTTGAACTCGTTCTTGACTTATCACAAAGGTTTGGAGCCTGTGGAATCCGTTCTCCCCTTTCATGGTCGATCTGCCGGAAGGTCTCACGCAAGTGCGTCCGGAAGAAGCAGCACCGCCGTGGATATTGAACGATTATTGTCCTTTCAGCGTCACGACCCCCTCTCGATCCTCATCCACACCTGCTTCGCCAACTCTGCCGGACCTGATAGCTCCGAGGACCAGCGGCGTACCGAGATCTGGGCCACTGCTTTGGCACGCTTGATCTCGGAGCCCAAATCCACTGGCGAGCACTTCC